TGGGGTTGAGATAAGATACGACTTCATTTCCGCCTTGCGGCTACGCTACGCTTCGCGAGCGTCGTTCATTTCCTCCGTCCACGTTGGAAAATACAGTACCAAGTCGAAGTTAAGCTTCCAACGTCTTAAAAAGACATGCAAAATTGATCTCGACAACGTATCAAGCGGATCAATTATGTCATCGCAAAATAATACACTTGAAATTATCGATATAAGTCACCCTCACTCTTCTTGCCCATTAATTATTAATTTGATTTGTATAAATAAAGCTGTGGATTACAGTAAAATGCTGATTTACGACGAAGGCGAATTTATTGGCAAACACGATTATCGCGTGAGAGAATTCCGGAATCGATATCGTTTCATAGCGAGAAAAAAAAATGTGTATTGCACGTGCGACCCACCGGAAGCTTCGTAAATTGGTTGTCTCACTGAAGCAAAAAGAAGTGGCGAGCGATGAATTTTAAGACTGGATACGTTGCGCATCTAGAGGCAAATCTAACCGAATTTATTCCAATCCCTATCGTTTTGCCCTTCCAGCTGTAGGACGACAGTAATAAGTCACTGTCGCGATGGGCTTTATGAATAATGCAACTTACGGGAAACTTTTTACGCGAAACGTATAAAACGGGGCGCAGTGCAAGGTACAAGCATAGATACACTTCTTTAACTCTTTCAAAAGCCGAGATTGTAGACGAAGGCGATGCCGTAAGCAGTCGGCGACGGTCACCGGAATAGCAAAAAAAGAGATGTTTCAAGATGTTCAAGTAGTTATACAAAGGTTCTTTTATTAAGTTATTTTGTAAAATTTCGCGCAGCATATTAGAATAAAAAAACAAAATTAGAAAAAAACTCATTATTATGTTTTCTATAATTATACTTTATATTCACTGAAAACAGAAAACTGGCGCTTTGAAATATCAAGTCCGATCGAGGTTATGTATTTTCCATCTAGATTAATTTTCACTTCAATTAAAAGACAATCGATATTAACGATCAGAAGAACTCACTGTCGCTAATAAACTCTTAGATCATACAGAAACAATTTCACGTTTATCAGAAGCACGGAAGTCTCAGCTTTACTACCGTTTTCGTTTGAAGTCGCTGCGACGTCTACGAGCGGACTTATCGACGAAAGTATCGAACCGCGCGCTCGATCGCCTCAGCGCGCCGCTGAGTCGACAGGACCTACCTCAACGCGGAAGCGCATCAGATTTCTCCGCGATACCGAGAAGTCGTCTGGGCGACCTTGCCCCACTATCGCGCTATTCATCATGGCCGCACGAAGCACGTGCGCGGCCATGTGGTCGCGCGGCGTCGTGACGTAACAACATGGCCACCTGAAGATGTGCACGCTCGTCTATCGATCGTCGATCTCACTCGCGCGCTGGCGTTCGCTGAGATGCACTGGACACCGAAACTTTAGAAGGTTATTACTCGCGAATGAATCAACGTAGACGAATAAAACAAAAAGCAATTTGCTTGGCGTACATTCCCGTACGCGTCTGTGTTGCTCTTTTGCCGTCAAGAGCAGCCGCACCAAACGGTGCGATAGAATTCGGGAAGAATATTGCTTACACGATGCATCTTCTATCACTTACAACAAATCTACCTAAATTTTTTCCTCCATGCCTTCTATTACAACATTAACATTAACTAGACCGATGTTATTATTATCTGTTCGAAATTATTTGCATTTTCAAGGCGTTTTTCGAAGACTACACCTAATTTCTTCCTCTTGTTTATTCTGTCCATTCGAGCGTACGACTGACGGTCGCTGCGCTCAGCCTCAGAAGCGTCAGCTTCATAAAGTTATGAGACTTTCCCTAATTTGTGAAAAGTTTTTGTTATGCGTAATATTTCTATATAATATTGTGTTTCTATTTACGTTGCGAATACATTTATATTATTATAATTACAACAACATAGAACAATAATTTTACTAAGAACTTCTCAGAAATGAAGGAAAGTCCCGCAGCTTTTACAAAATGCTGATTGTCGGTCCTGAAGCTAGGTCGTCGTACGGTTCGATGGACGAGGCATAATGGAAGAAAGCAGACGTAAATCTTGAAAAGCGCCTCAAAAGTGCAAGTAATTCCGAGCACTCTGATATAAAGCACATTTTGCGTTAATGGAGTGTGTCTTAATTAGACGCACGATTGCATGCGAACGCGTTGCAATCGCCGGGCGTCCCTCGTCCTCGGGACAATTTGGGTGCCATCGTCGGCGAAAGGATAGGCGGGAGCGCGGGTTATCGGGCAGAATGGAACGCCAAGAGAAGATTCGCCCATTGGCCCCACAGTTGACACAGTTTCCCGCCGACGGTGTTAGCCCCAACGATCGATACTCTACGTCGTGACTGCCTAAGAAGATCATCGTCGCAGTAAGCGTTACACGCCAACACGCGGCTTCAAACTTAATGGCCCATTCGCGGTGCGCAGTCGTGCGGTGCACCGCGTGATACGACTGATGTTTGAGCTCGCCGTTAATGCGACGATAATATCGATTGCGAGCGGCATGGAGCCCCGCTCTCCCGGTCCATTTCGATACGTCGAGCACAGCTCGCTCTTGACGAACAAGAGCGAGCGAGTGGGCAAGTGAGCGGTCGATCGATCGATCGATCGATCGATCTTCCTTACTGCGAGATAAATCAGAGGCTGAATTGCGGCAGTAAATTTCGATAAGAGATAATCAAATTCCTCTGCTGACACCTATACTACGATTTCGCGAAAATTCGCTACACGAACGTGTCAATGAATTGTACAAAGAGACTAAGAATAGTGTTTCCTGACTAACAAGTTTTTTTTTCACGTGTCTCTTCTCCCTGTATAATATAATAAGATATACTCTTCTCACATCCACGAGATGTCTGAGTATAAATCGAATGGTAGTACTCTCTCAATAGACTTAGGTATAATCACGATTAATGAAGAAATAAACGCGAGTCTGTCTGCTGAAGTCTAGCCGGCCCTTACATTCGAGGATACGGCAGGATGCCTGACGTGTCCGTAGCCGCAAAATATGACAGATAAATTTTGATAAGACGAAGGAATCCCCGGAGGGTTTTCGCCGTACCGCGAGTCGGAACGTCTTAATCTAAACCGTCCTCGAGGAAAGTAAAATGTAGCGGGAAAATGGCGACCAATTTAGCGCGACGTTCTTCGTCCGCTTCGGCGCTGTCATTACCGCGAATCGTCCACATGGAGAACACAGCGGGGTCCTCCTCAGCGGCTGGTCCGGCGGATCATCCGAATAGCCGTAGAGAGAAGAGAATAAACGCGCGAGAGTCGAGCGATTTAATTAATTTGAGAGAATATCTCGCGTGGACGAAGTGGAACGTAAGTCTATAAGTCGTCGTATAACGAATGAGAAACGTGGATAGGTTAGGCGAACGAGACATCGCGGCGTCGGTAGCGCGACAGCTTAATGCCGCGGGCTTACCTTGGCAAGCAAGGCAGGAAGGAAAGTAAGATGGAAGGAAGGAAGCTGTAGCGCACCGCGCGGAAGAATAAAAGCAGACGGAACACTCACCGATACTCCGATCCCTCGCTCAGCTGTCTGACCGTAATGGGAAATTCGCTGGGTCCGTGCGCTTTCAGAAGTTCCTGCAATCGCACGAGCCCCTCGTTGTTCTCGTAGATAATGGTGAAACTCTTCCACCCCCAGGCCTTCACCAGATCGACGTACGCCTGGAACACGGGTAATCAATCACAGGCTGTTATTATTACAGTTGGGGGTTAACAGCCGGCGTAACGCTTTTAGTCTCACGATGTAATTTAACTCTCTCGGGCTCTCTCTCAACCGTCACGCGATGGCAATAAGTACGATGAATACACATCGCCCGTGAAGCAATAATTTTGCGTTATTCTGGTACCTTGATTATCTTTACGGCACACCTCTAAAGTCACACGCGTATCACGAAGCGTGTGCGTGTGTATGTGTGTGTATGTGTTATGATTAAAAATATTCTGTCATTTAATGAAATGAAAATACGCAGGAAAAAGTAAATACGATAATAACGTCGGCTTACACGGCTGATGTGTCTCATTCGTAACAACTTGTACGACTTAGGGATAGAGCTTTAATTAAAATTTCTCTTTTTATCGAGCGACGATGTATATCGATGGCAATTAATTTTTAAATGCGTAAATGAACGGAAAATATGTACAGAAAATAATTTCGTCGTACGATATTATCAAGTTAATCATCGATGCAAATTGGTCACAGCCAATTATCATTATTATATGACGAATCGCGTAAATTGGAAAAGTCTGAAGAACTTACTGCGGTTAATTAATCGAATATTTAGTATACTGTGTGGCGCGCCGGCAAGGAAAAAACTTGGAATGGATTTCATTGTTCATTAAAAAAGCGTGTTATCTCATTGTTGCTTCTTTTCCGCGGTGCCGATTAGTTATCTCGATCTCGATGCAAATTATTGTTTATATCGTAACGTGTGACGTGCGCGCGCACGCGTGATTAACGTAAGAGTTACCGCGTAGTTGTCCGTGTGGAAATTATGCATTTTGATGGCTTGTGAACGTCAGGGAATTAAATATTATAAAATAATGTATATTTTAATATTACGAGGGAAAGTATATTAAAAGTATAGTGAGTAGATAATGCAATGCGGTGAGCTCGAACCGGCTAAAAGTAACGCGACTTCGAGAATATACGTATGTATGTGATTGCGTGTAATCATAATAGTTCTTGACGCAAGCTTGAACGAATAAAGAGACGTTTGCGTCTACAATTTGAACGCTTATAAAGCCTCATATTATGTGCATGCAATTTTTAGACACAAGTCACACTAATTGGCAATTAGGAAACTGTCTCTCTCACACACTCACTGCGCGTATGTACGAGATTATTTAAAACAGATTTAGGGGGTAATGCGCGGTAGCGCGCGTCTACAGTGCCTAATGAATAAAAATTCTGCAGCTGGAGAGGATAGCCGAAACATATCATTAATATATATTATTTTGACGGATATATTATCCACGGAGCTCATGTATAACGATCTTTCTCACTTGTTATAACATCGTAATATCCACCAACGCTTTTATTTTACGTAACGGCAATAAGTCCTTTTTTTGCAACGGCTATTGATTTTTATTAGACGCGTCGGTGCAAAGTGACGATATATGCGCGCTTGTCAAAGGGCGATGTAAAAAATATGTAGATCCACGAACGTGAAAGGACCGCGTGAGCGAACGCTGCTCGCTATGTGCGGCTGCTGCTTCGATCCGCAGCTACTAGTAACAAATTGCACATCGGCACGAAATACAACGGCACATCGCGAGAAGAATTCGCACGCGCCAACGCGAACATTTATGACCGCGTCTCGAATTCCGTTAGAGTTTGGATTACAATATGTTGCCGATGAAATGTCGCCGACGTCGGCTATAAATAAATCGGGAATGTCCGACGCGCCCACGCTCCGCGGGCGCCATTATTGCGAGCACCGAGCATCGTAAAGTATCGTAGTTATCCGTTCGATCGCGGTCAACGTTGTCATTTTCGTCGCATTTCCCGTTCCTCGTTGCACAGGGTGCGCTTGTTATGCCGGTACAATAAGTGTGTGTGTTTTCCCGGATGTGTTTCCGCAGTTGTATCATCGCCGGATATCGCCCTTTTCTTTATTTGAGCGCGACGAAGTACTGGGCAGTGAATTTAGCGTTACTTCACATGGGAAAGAGAGAAAGAGGGAGACGCGTTTGCGCGAATACCTGTGTACTCCACGCCTTCTACGTAACCCGTAGTGATAGAACAAACGTTGCGAAACGTAACTGCGGTTGCGTTTTAAAATAAACCTCTTTCACCGTGCACTTCCCGTACACATCGTATCGCGACGCAACGAAGCGTCTCTCTCGCGAGTAAAAGAGAAGGAGAGAGAGAGCGAGAGAATAGCGTAAGAGATTGCGACTTATTTTGCCGCGTGGTGGCTTCTCCTTCCGCACAGCTCAGGCTTTTAACTGGGAAAACAAGTATCGCCACGGTCGCGACGCGTTCTCCAATGGCCGAATTGTCCGCGAGCCGCGCTGCTTTCGCGCGCTTTGCAAAGAATTCACTTCTCTCTGTCGTAATGCGCACGGCTCGCGCTCGCTTTTTCCGATAATCCAAATTCCGTGAAAAGGCGAATGTATATTTTCCCAACGAGGGAACTTCCGCCGCGCTTTCTCGCTTTTTCTCTCTGTTTCTTTTACCTTTTTTTCTTTAATGCCGTTCTCCGTCTTCTCGAACTCGCGACGATACGAACTTTGGGATTTCACGTTAGCTGACTGCCTCCATATTGTCGTCGCTTCGTTTTTATCCAAGAAATCACCTGGCGGCGCAACCATTTCTAACTGTATAATACTCCTCCGCAGTAATCCCAGTTAGGATTATAACGTGATGTGACGCTCGAGACCACGTTAATCTTTAACTTCACCTTCCTCTACCTCACTCGCGGATGAATCATTTCGTTAGTTTTCCTCGCATGGATCCTCCGCGCTTGATTCTGCTGGTTACTCAGTTAAATGTAGCATCGCGAGATACGCTTGATGACTTTCGTTATTACACATCATAAGTGGCCTCGAGAATACATCTCCTTTGTTCGAAGCTCAAGATCAGAGCAAGCTGAAAAGATGCATCTCCCAATTCGCAAAATACAACCGACGATGTTGTTCCACCTGTTTTTAATTTAGAGCCACAGCTTCTTTCATTTGCTTCGTCGATTAAGGTAAAGATGAGGGAGGGAAGTTTGCACGGGAGATTCAAGCGCAAAATCTGCAGACTAAACGACACTACTAAATTCGTGTAATACTCCTAATCCTACGTATTCTGGGTGTCCTGTTCGTGATATTTAGCTGTTTTTGCCGGGTATTCTCCATCACACCACTATACATCCACCCTTATCGCCTCTCTGTGTCCTTCGGCTGGCTTTGTTATAATCGAAGGTTCCCAGGTGCGACGTTAATACGAGACCGTTGGTAGCGGCGTAAGTTTGACGTGGGAACATACTTGGGCTAAACGCGAGCGGGAATTACGATGACGATCATGTACCTACTTTAGCGAGACATTTAAAACTTATCTCACTCCGCTTCTCCGGAATCAACTCGTCTGCGGAATTCAGTACGGACGCTGAGCGCGCGCGCATGTCAGTCCGTGATTTTGCAGGCAGTAATTTTAGAACGTTGGATTGCGCGTTATTCATACCATTGCTCGTTATTTCGCGCGATACGAACCCACGCAAACGAAAAAAAAAAAAAAAAGAGGCAGAGAAAGAGAGCGGGAAAGAGAAATAACACGCGAACTTTGCCGATACCATCGTGTATGTTCAGTCACTTTTTGCACATTGCAGAAGCGACGATGCGGCTGACGACCCCCCGTTGCTTGTCTGTCCATTTGCGATGCTAACAGGCTCGGATTGTCACGGGATGCAGACAGCGGCTGCTGGCGAGTAGCCAGATCGCGTTCATTAATAATACGGTGATTATATACTGCGGCTTTTTGTCGAAATGAGATTTACTGAATCTGGCGAGTTAGACTCTTTCGATGGAGTCGGGCTTAACGGCTCGACGACGGCGCGGAGAGTCTGTTGCGCGACGTGCGACCTCGCGACGAGACGAACATCGCGGCGGGTCTCCACTGGCGGTTTCGGCGTGCCGCAGCGGAAAATGGCTCGGGTCGTGTATTTTCGGAATTATAATGCTAATTTTAATGTAACACGTATATTTCAACGAAATCACCACCATCACTACTATCATCCTTCTGTGATTCGCGCAGAGTTCCGTGACGACCAGGCGCGATTAAACTGGGTCGTCGGTACGGCGTATCGAGCACCAAAACCGCGTTTGTTCAAACTCGGTGCCGTAATGCGATACGGAATGACAAATGTAGCTTGGTCGGTCTTCTGAAATGTATGGTAATGCCTTGTCCACCTCACTGACCCCCGAGCGCCACAAAAGCAACTTTATGCTTGAACCCATCCCCATCTCGCCGACCATTGTGCTGTTTTTTCCCCTCTCGCTGCCGTGTACAATTTGCAATTGTACACCAAACGTAACAGAGATTTTGTTAAAACTTTTATTGAAGTACGATCGAATTTCCACACAGTAATCAGCCGCGACAGTGAAGTACTGGCGGTTCTTATTAAATGTTTAGCAATCTGAACGCAAAGTGACACACGTTATGACCGGGATATATCCGCGGATGGGAATTTCGTCGAGAGCGCGTTGACGGTATCGCGCGACAAAATTCCGAAGTTACGCCGTTACCATAAATTAATCATAACTTCGCGATGAATTATGAGGCCTCGGCTGTCTTCGCGTAAACGAGAGAGAAGCACAGCGCTCTTAAAATCAATCTCTCTCTCTCTCTCTCTTTTTCGCCCGTGCGAAATTATTGCCGTTTTAACAAGACCGGCGTAATTTACGGGACGATCCAATTTCGGCGATTCTCGGCCACGTCCAGCCCCGGAACGGGGAATAAATCGTTCGGCGTCCGCTATTGGCCAACGCCCGGTGTATACCCATGCATCTCCCATAATCGCAGGACTTGGTGAATCTGATCGCGACAACTGTGCCCGGCGTTGTACGTCGCGTATTCGCGCGTGCCGTACGCGGCGGCCGGTACCTACAAATAGCGCTCCGCCAGAATCTCGTTCGCCCGTCGTGTGTTTTGCGCACGGTAATGTATCGCGGCGCTA